GAGTCTGGTCTTTTGCATGTTCCTGGCTTTGCACAGAAACTCTAGTTCACACCTCCATTACTCCGCAGCTGTCTGAAATGTCCGTGACCTTGATGAGAGACCCTTCCATGCCAGCTCTTGGAGTCACTACTCTCACCCCCTCCTCGACCTGCCCATCACTGGTGGAAGGATGTTACAATGCCATGGAGGTCAGGTAAGAAGCTGGCTGGGAAGTTCTGGTGACATATCCCGAGCAGAGCAGCTGTATCACTGGGACACAATTCTTGTCTATGGATGTTCCCTAGCCATCGCTCTTCCTACATTCCATCCTCTCCTCCTTCCCCAGACCCCCCCAGGTTTCCTCCAGGGCAGAGAGCCCTGATCTGGAGCCTGTGGTAGAAGGGGAGCAGAAGAAGTCCCCAGCCCGCCGGCCTGAGGAGGAGAAGGAGCCCCAGCGGTTGCTGGTGCCCGACATCCAGGAGATTCGAGTCAGGTAGGAGCAACCGGGGCAGCCAGCAAGGGGAGCACCTATGGGCAAGGACACCATGCCCTGCCACTGCCACCTCCTCATGGCCTCCTTCCTCATGGTTTCCCACCCCTTCCCTTGATCCCTTCTGCAGTCCCATCGTCTCCAAAAAGGGCTACCTGCACTTCCTGGAGCCTCACACCAATGGATGGGTGAAACGCTTCGTGGTGGTCCGGCGTCCCTATGTCTACATCTACAACTCAGACAAGGATGCGGTCGAGAGGGCCATACTCAACCTCTCCAAGGCCCAGGTGGAGTACAGTGAGGACCAGCAGGCCATGCTCAAGGTAGGGCACTGGGAGCCAGCCCCACTCCGCACACCCCACCGAGTGAAGGACTAAGCTCTGGCTCTCCCCTCGCAGACCCCAAACACGTTTGCGGTGTGCACAGAGCACCGGGGCATCCTGCTGCAGGCGAGCAGTGACAAAGACATGCACGACTGGCTCTACGCTTTCAACCCTCTCCTGGCTGGATCCATAAGGTACCTGGGGCAGCTGGGGGAAGGGGGATGCAGAGAAGCCATTACTGATGGGGCTGAAGGTTCCCAGTGCTTTCCTGCTACAGGCCCCAGCCAGGTGGGGGGAACATCTCCTGTGCAGAGCTGTTATGGGACAGGCTTTCAGCTGGCAAAACTTGGACCATATTAATTTTGAATTCAGCTCATCCACATTTAAATGTTTGCGTCTAGAACCAGATTCCAGGTGGTACAGAGGTGCTGTGCTGAGCTCAAAGCAACATCCGTGCCTGGTGGCAGGGCCTCTGGCCTGTCACTGTTCTTGAGACCGTCCCACGGAGTTTTTGAGTTTTGTTAAGGAAACTTTCCTGTCTCACCATCCCGGAGCCACTCCGGAAGTCACACATGCATCACCTGAGCTGCGACTGAGGCCCCTTCACAGCAGGTCGTTCCAGTGAGTCGACTGGAACCGACAGGCCTTGGTTGACTTCTACACTCACCAGAAACACTCAGACAAGGTTTTGGCTCAGTCACAGGTTCCCCACAGCAGAGTCTCAGACATCTCGTTCCTTAACATACTTTAGTCACAGTGCAGTAACAAAGCAACAGCTGGAGCTGGGTGCCTCTGAGAGAGGAGCCTGAACAAAGGGAACCCTGCGCTTTTACACCCTTAGTCTAAAAGTACTCTCGGAGTGTCCTTCACCTGGCTGTGCCGCAGGTCCCTGTGCCCTTTGTTATGCAAACGATCGGCAGTTCAGGGGCTCTGGCCTCAGGCTCTCACTCCTGCAGCTCAAATCGCAGCTGCATACCAAACTACCTGCACCAAATACTTTCATTCCTCAACAAGACCATCCAATGGACTTCTTGAGATCACCTCAAGTGGCAGGACTAGGGGAATAGGGATAAATGCACAGAAATGTGTGTGCTCTGGCTAAAGAGACTTTAATTCTATGTCCCTCCAGCTGTCTGGATTACAGTATCAGCCTGGATGCAGGACACTGAACCTGGGAGTCCACACCTCTCCTTGTCCACATCTTTTAACACCTTTTGTCCCTTGTTTTCCAAATCAGATCCAAGCTGTCCAGAAGGAGAACAGCCCAGATGAGAATCTAACCTGAAAAACACCCTCCACCTCATCCGTCTGCCAACAGGATCAAGATAGCTGATTCTGTCTGAAGACTCCCCATGTTAATATCTGATCTTTCACACCATCTGCTGCCCCAGCTCTCTGCTCCATGGAAGGATCTGTCTTGATTCACAGCTTCACAGGGGAAACTCACTTCTGTTTGTAGCTGCAAAAGCCTGGACCCGCCTGGGCAGGATTCCTTGTGCACGTGCCATCTTCTGCCTGTCCCTTCATGGGTGACCTTCATATCACACCATCTAACTCTCAAAAAAAGGTCCCTATCAGAGGGGAGGGAGTGAGAAGGGTGGTTTTGACTAAAAGCTCGTCTTTGATCTAGAGAGATGGGAATGCAGTAAAGCTCAGAGCTGGGAGAACAGGAGGAATTGCCCTTAGGCAAAGTGGTAATTTAGATGTGGGGTTTCCCTAATTTACCGGTGTTTCTGCAAGAGACAGCAGAGTAAGATCAGGTGTCAGTACTTTAAGATTATATTTATAAAGTATTTATTTCTATTTGCATCACAAAAATCCCCTAAGTTGAGTCCTGGCCCCCAGCCAATGCCTCCCCCAGGCAGGGGAGAGCCTTGGTGGTGGGCCTGGGTTCCAGAGATGCCTTCCCAGGACGCCCCTGGCTTGTGCCTGGCAGCAGTGCAGCTCTCACCCTCATTCTGTGCCCTTCCCCAACTATCTGCTTTGCCTATCCCTACAGCTAAAACTACTTTTCCCCTGAGCAGTGCCCAGACAGCCCACCATGTCTTCCCAAAGAAGGCAATTCCTACCTGTCCCATCTACCTCTGGAAGGGAGGAGCCCACGGTCTCAACTGGCCAGGGCACCATGTCCCTGCAGGTGGGTCACTGCATTTTGGAGCTTGGTCCTACTGGAGGGAAAATGAGAGCTCTGGGTATGACTCTGTCTGTCACCCCATGCTGGGCTACCCTTTCCAACAAAAAGCACTTGGGCCACTTCCCCTGTCCCAGCCTGGGACCCCCAGGTGTCTCATCCAAAGGGATTTCCCACTCTTAGGGCAGGATGCCAAGGATCCCAACCCTGCAGGGAGTATGGAGGTTCAGATGGAATGGGAAAATTCCCCAGGAGCCACGACTAGGAATGACTATCCCACCCTTACAGGATCCTTCTTGCCCTTTCCCAAAAGGGCTTGCACATCCCTTCTTCTCCCAGCGGGATGATGAACTCAAAGCAGATCAAAGGGTGTCAGGGTGGGGACGGGTCTTCTTTTTTCTGTTATAGCTGGTGTTTTCTCACTCTTGCTCTGCTGCAAAAGCAAGCACCCACCTCCCCCCACCCTGCCTCCATCAGCATGTTAATCTGGGGGCTTCCTGCATTGGAGGAGTTTTTGCTGAAAAGACCTTCTCTAGTCATCACTGCTTCCCACCTCCTCCAGCAGCACTCTCTCTTCTCCCATCTCTCACCCAAGGTTAGATGTTTTTGTTCAGGGCTTCCCAAGTGGTCGGCAGCATCTGGCACAGCTCCGTGCTGGAAGCTGAGCATCTTCCTCTGTACATCTCCCAGGCACCCCTCAGCTCTGCTGTCTCTTGTCCAGCACAGCTGCGCCTTGGCTCTGCCACACCTCCCTGCACAGTCTGTGGGGTGTGTGTGTGGGTGTGTGTGTGTGTGTGTGTGTGGGACGTGGTGCTGTCTTCTCATTATACTCGTGTTGTGGGGGGCACGGATAGGTAGGGACGTGGCAGAGGAGTAGAGGCTTGCACTGGCCCCCTTGCTGCATATCAGGCACCCTTTAGCTTGGGTTTCAGGCGACAGAAAGATTTTGGGGATTCTTCTTGAGCACATGCTGGTTCTGCCTGGCCTTGCCACAGCTCCTTTGACATCTTACCCCATTACTAGAGCCCAAATCTGCAGTGGGGCTGCTCCTCTCAGCCCAGCTCCCCTGCCGAGGACAACCTCCCCAGCAAAATGGGTTATTTCCCATCTGTGATCCTTCTAGAGCTGCAGGCCGACTTGTGCCCTTTCTGTGTGAAGAGGTGCCAGCCTGGAGGCACAGAGAGGCTGAGCTGGGGCAACGCAGGGGCCCGGGCTGCACCATCCTGGCTCCCGTGCTCTGAGCAAGGACTAGTTAGTACCACCCGAAATTTCAGTGTAAGGGGCTCAGGGTGAAGAAATGAGGGGAGGCTCTAACAGAATGGAGGCAGCTTCTGGCAGAGACAGGACCAGTGTCTGTCAGGGACCAGACACAGGTTCGCCGGCTGCTGCCTGTGCCACGGACAAGCCGCAGCCAGCGAAGGGATCCTCCAGCCGGAGCCGAAGCACGCCTGAGGCCAGCAAACCTGCAGAGCAGCCGGCTCGGCTGGGGGTGCCGAGGGGAACAGAGCTGCATGGCAGTGGCGGCACCGCTCCTCCTCGCGGCCCCGGCACCCATCCCCTCGGCAAGGATGCACAGCGGAGGTCCAGGCACGGCTGCAAGCCCAAGCGGAAGGGACATGGCACAGGGCAGTGGGTGGCACGGAGGGTAGGCTGGGGCCAGGGCAGGAGCGAGGCCGCCCTCCCCGCTCTCCGCTTCCCGCCGCCTGCCGGGGGGGTGGGGGGGGGGAGGGCAGCGCTGCGGGTCCTTGGCCGTCCGTGCGCACGTGAGGCTTGTTCGGTTCTGAAATAAATGTCGCATTTAACGCAACTCCCGAGCGCTGAGCGTCCTCTGCGGGGCTGGGGGGCGGCAGCAGGGCCGGGGCGGGAGCGGCGCTGAGGGCAGGCAGCGCCCGCCGCCATTGAGGGCGCCCCCTGGCGGGCCTGCGCCACCCGGCGGGGCAGGGGGCGGGGCGGCGGCGCTGACTGACAGCGCGGCCCCGCTGGCGATTGGCGGAGGGGCGGGGCGGCGGCGCTGATTGACAGCGCGGCCCCGCCGGCGATTGGCGGAGGGGCCGGGCACGTGCCCCGGTGGGCGGGGCCAGGCGGTCCTTCCGCCGTGGCGGAGCGCGGGCCCGTTTCCGGCCCTCCGCGGGTGCGGGCCGGGCGGGCGGCAGCAGCGGCGGCGGTGATGGATCTGTTCGGGGATCTGCCCGAGCCCGGCGCCGCCGCGGGTGAGGCCGCCACCCGCTCGGGCCCGCCCCGGCCTTCGGGCCCGCCCGGCCGCGGCCCGTGGCCTCACCGGGCGGGCTGCGGGCCTGCCGGCGCTCGGCAGCGTGGCCAGGCCGCCGCCTCAGGGAGCGTGAGGGGCGAGGGGAGGGTGAGGGGACGGGTTAAAGATCGCTGGAGGAATTGCCGGGTTTGGCGGGTTTTGTGGTTTTCTTACTGGCTCCGCTGCAGTTTAGACCGTGTTTTGGCATGTTCCGTATGAACTGCAGCTCCCTGCGGTTTAGACCGTGTTGGAGCCTTTCCTCTCACTGTGCTGCTGAGCTTAGTGGATTACTAGCAAAAAATAAAACCCAAAAATCATGCTTTCAAAAGTTCACCTTAGCGCCAGGCAGGTGGTTATTTTGCTTGTGCAGCAGCTGCTAAAATTACAGGTGGAAGTAAGGCTCTCCTGCTTTACCCCACCTGTGCTACTTTGGGGGCAGTCCTTTCAGAACAGCCTCCCCCAGGAGTGCTGCACTGGTTCCTTACGCTGCCCTGGTGCCTTGCAGGGAAAGATTCCCAAAAAGGGCCTCTGCTGTTTGATGATCTCCCACCATCCAGCAGTGCTGACTCAGGTATGGGTGCTCTCTTCCTACCTTTAGTTTGGTTTTCTGTGTTTCCTGCATCAGCATCTCTTTCAGATGAAATGTGTGTAAATCCTGTTCTTTGTTAGACAGAATAAAGGCAGTAGGGTTATCAGTGCTTGCATGTAGATAGCTGCATCCTGTTTGGTTTTTTATAACCAGGGTGTTATTGTTGTTCCAAATATATTCTATGAAACATTCCTTAAAAATGTTCCCTGGAACAGATGCAAAGCCTGGATTTGCCCAATTGGTAATGGAAGTAGAAATTTGTCTCTCTTTGGTAAACTGACATAATTTCTTCACCTCAGGAGAGACATAGGCAAAGCATTATTCCCTGCCAGGAACAAAGGTATTTAATTATTTTTGTTTTCTTCTTGTGCTCCAGGAAAAGAAGGCTCTTTGCTCTTCGATGGTCTCCCACCAGCCAGCAGTGGTGACCCAGGTAAGGAGCTGTGTCCCTCAGCAGCCTCTGCTGAGCCACCCCTCTCTGGGAAAAGCCCACGATGCAGCATGTTGTGTTGGACACTTAGCAAGTTAACCTGGTGCTTATTTCTCCAGTCTGGATTGGCTGACAACTTTCATGGCAATTTGTAGCCTAATTGTTTAAATCAGGATTCTGAATCTTAAAATTAGGCCTGTTCCCAGAAGTACATTGCTGTCTTTTGGGGACCACAGTTCTCTCTCTGAAAGCTCCCTGCTTTGGGAAGGGAAGTGGCCTGGTGCAGCCACTGCCCAGGCTGCTGCTCTGGCAAGGCTTTCTGCATGCAGCCATGTGCTTGCTGTCACCTGGGAGGAGCTGAGATAATTCACTATGCCCATAGGAGCCTAAATCTCCAAAAGGAAAAAGCCAGAGTTCTGACATCAGGTTTTGCTTGCTAGCTTTAATTTGTAGCCTTCTTTTGAACCTTCTAAAAATATGCACGTTCAGAGTAATAAAATAAGTTCCTTTGTGTTGTTGTGGGCAGAGATCATAGAGGAGAATAATAGTAATAATGATGTAGAAGTGTTCCAGTCTGTAACATTAACTTCCTGAGCAATTAACTGGGAAAAAAAAAAAAACAAAAGCCTGGTAAGTAAGGGATAAAACCTGTGGGTTGTTCAGTAGTAACTGTGGTCTTAATGCTGTGTAAGTGTGTGAGCCTGCACTCCTGAGCGTGCTTTGGTATAAAAGGACTTGCTGCTGAATTTATGCAAGTAAAACAGTCCAGGAACACTTGAGCCACCTGCATTTTTGCTTTCTTTCAGCCTCCAGTGCTACTAAGCAGGTCTCATCAGCAGAGAGCCAAGAGAAAGGGCAGAAGAGAAAATCCTTGGAGGAGGAGGACGAGAAGAATGGCAGGGAAGAACTTGTGGAAAAGAAAGTTTGTAAAGGTTTTCAGACAGTTTGAAAACAAATGTACTCAATTTGTACTTTTGGCGTTGGGCTGAGTAAGTCCAGAACAAAGCTAAGCTTTGGTTCTTCAGTCTGCTTGCCTTTTCAGCCTCTTGTAGGAAACAAACTGCTGCAGGGGTCTGTGGAAGCTCCTTGAGCTTCCTGGGTCTGTCTCCTTCCCCTGGACCTTCTTTCTGTCCCTGCTGAAGCAGCAGGAGCTGAGCAGCAGGCACCTCAGCACTTGCAGTGCTGCCAAGAGGGAGATTGGGTGTGGAACCTCTGTAAGGCTAGATCCACACCACTCCTTTTGCCACATGCACAGACCCCTCTGCTGGCTGCTAAGGATGCCAGGGAGGGGGAGAGACAGGCTTGTTACATACAGGGCCCTTGGCTTCAGTGCCTGCGTGCTGTGCTGCAGCTTTGGGAGTAAAATGTGTTCAGGGGTACAGAGGAAAGGACATGTCCTGGGAACATCACACCTGGATTTCCTGTGCTTTGTGCACTCTTTAAAGCCGTGCTTTATTAATCTGCAGGTTCAGTGCCACATGGTACACCTGCCCACCCTGTCCCCTGCCCCTGTTTGGTAAGAGTCCTGCCCAATGCCCAGCAGTCCTGCTTGGCTACAGCTGCCTGCTGAAATGAGGGCAGGCTGCTTTTAGAGCTGCTGACCTTGGGGGCATGTAAAAACCCATGTTACAAAATAAACATGTCCTGTTCAGCAGCAGATGCTAGATGTTTTGTTGCAGGACAAGGAGCCAGGACAGGGCTCTGAAAGCTGAGAACTTCCTGTTTTTTAGCCTGAGCTGAGGAGACAGAGGAGTTTGATTTGCATGTGTGTGCCTGCTTTGTTCCCCTTTAGGATCTGTGGGCATTCTTGGACTGAAGGGTTATGTGGCAGAGAGGAAAGGTGAGAGAGAAGACATGCAGGATGCACACGTCATCTTGAACGACATCACCGAGGAATGCCGGCCTCTGCCCTCCCAAATGTAAGTGGGCCCCAGCTGCCAGAACAGCCATCCTGGGGGTGAGGGGGCTCTAGCTTGCTTCAGCTAAGCCCATGGGATGATCCTTTTTGCTTTCACCAGCTGCTGCTCTTGTCTGCCTGTCTTGTGGTGAGTGGTTTGGGCTTCTTATTGGGAGACCTGTGGTGAAACATCAGCTAGCTGTGTTCCCAGGCAATTCACAGGGCTGGTGTACAAACACCTCCCTTTGAGAGGTGCTTAGTGGATTCAGTCACTGACTTTACAAGCACCATGAGGGCCTGATAACTCTGGATGTTGATCCTATATTACCCAAATGTAAGTGGGTATGTAAAACGAAAATAATCTCAAGCATCACCCTGATACTGGATTTAGCTTCTGAACTAGTACTGTCCCAAGAGGTTTGTGTTCTGAGAGATCCAAGTTTTTTGTCTGTAGCATAGTTGAAACAAGCTTAGGCATGGAAGGTACTGTAGGATTGACTAGACTGATGTCTGTAATGCTGGAGAGTTGCAGTGTCCTTGAGGTAATATGTTTATCTGCTTTTATGCCAAGTTGAGGTCCGTAAACCCTTTAGCTCTTCATTTTCTTGAGGAGTGGAAAATTACAAGAAAGTTCTCAGCCCAGTGGTGGAACATGTAAACCACGTAAATGCTGAATATATGAGCTCAGAGACCTGCTACCTCTTGTGCCTTGCAGTGCAGGATTTTAAGTCTGGCTGACACAGGGCAGGGTGGTATGGAGAGGAATGTGCTTGATGCCATTCCCTGGCTAATGACCTTTCTTAGCCTCCTCCTGCTGCCTTTTGTTCCCTCACAGCACACGGGTCTCGTACTTTGCTGTTTTTGATGGCCACGGGGGAGTCCGAGCCTCCAAATTTGCAGCGCAGAATCTGCACCAAAACCTGATTAAGAAATTTCCTAAAGGTAAGAGGACTGGAATAAGGGCTATAGTTCAACCATCACCTTTTCTGCCTTGGCAGTGGATACGGAAACTGATCTGTTTGGGTGTTGTCCTACAGTACACCCATTATTGTAAATGCAGGCGAACTCAATGGGAAGAAATGACGATGTCTGACTCAATTCAGAAGGCTGAATTATTTCTTTATTATAACTATGCTAAAATACATTAATATACTTTATAAAGGGAGGATACTAAAACTGCATACTGCTTTCTCTAACTCAACTCGTGACCCTCTCTGAGAGTCCAGCCCTAGATGGGTTGGATTGGCCATCAGGCTCAAACAATCCTCACCAGAATCCAATCAAGCACTCACTCCAGGTAAACAATTCTCCAAACACATTCCACATAGGGAAAACAACGAGCAGAAGTAGAAATTGTTTTCTCTTTCATTTCTCTCTGTGCACCTCTATGAAAAATCCTGAGAGGGAGAGAAATGTGCTTGCCACAACCCATCTCTTATTACCAGAGGGCTTGCAAGACTGCTGTGTCTGCTGGGGAAGAGGGCTGGAAGCCTTTTTGGCACAAGGGTGCAAGTAGCCAGTTGTGACTCACTCAACAAACGTTGGATGTGCTGTTGCCAGTTTTGGCAGTGCCACATCACGTATGAAAATACTCCTGTGATGGAGAGGTTTATGTCATAAACTCTCCACATACAGTACTGCATGGATTTCTGGTAGGGTAAGCCCAGGATGTGCCCCAGCTGCCCTGCAGAGTTCAAGAGATGCACTGCCTGGCTGAATGTTGGAGCAAAGGGGCAGACTAGGATAGATAGATCAGATATGTTTTACTTGGAGCTTAGTTGCTGTTTTCTCTGTCTGACAGGTGAGGTAGCCAGTGTGGAGAAAACTGTGAAGAGATGTCTTTTGGACACCTTCAAACACACAGATGAAGAGTTTCTAAAGCAGGCGTCCAGCCAGTAAGTGCAAATGCTTTCTGTTCACTTGTATTCATTTGTAGGTCTGAGTTGTGAGCAGGGCAGAGGAAACCTTCCTTGTGTCATTCCTGTGCTTTGGCAAAACTCCACACAGCTCCACTGTGCCAGGCTGTCACTCTGCCAGCTGAGTGCTTGCTGGAACTAGATCCTGGCATGTTCCAGTCTTACTCTATGGTAAGTGGTATATAGGATCCCTTAGACTAAAATGTTTCTCCAAAGGAAGGAAGCAAAACAGGTCCAAGGACCACCTCTGTCCTTCTCAGGATTATTTGGTTTCTTTTTAAAGACTTGCCATGTTGCTGAAAGGACTTGTCCTGTACTGCCTGAGGTGGGATCTCTCTGTTAATGGCATTAGTGTGTGGCAGGAGGGGATCTGTAGAGGCCGCTAAGCTTTCTTTAGAGCTGTGCTTGTCAGGATGGAGCACATCCCTGAGGTAGCTTTTAATGCCCTGTGTTGAAAGATCTATGTCTCCCAATGTAAATTTAAATCTTGCTTTCTTCAGCTCTTGAGAAAACAGATGTTGATGAAGAATGTCCCTCTGTGGGGTAAATGCCAGCCTGCCTTGCAGCTGGATGTGGAGTGCCAAACTCCCTTCTCTCTCTCTGCTGAACTGACACACCGAATGTGTGGGCTAGGGAAGATACAGATTGCATTTCAAATACAGTCACTTTGTTATCAATCCTTTACTCACATTTGGTTTTTTTATTGTACATATTTCACAGTGACACATCTCTCACAGACTGTTGCCATATTTGATTCTGTGATTCCCTGAAAACTTTCAATTTTAAGTAAGTTGCAAACTGGCTCAGTCTCTTAAGGCTAATCAGAACAACAAGTTTGCCCAGGCAAAAGGAGGATGCTTTCTTGAGTCTGTCACAGTAGTGTCTTTCTCAAACCAGCCTCTGGTCAGAAGCATGACTTATGACAAAGGATTGCTAGCAGTAGCTGTATTGATGGTGAAATGAATCATGTTCTTTCAGCCACACCTTCAAAGTAAGGAAAAACTGGGTGAAATATGTCTAGAAATTATTCTCTCAGAGCTAGTTTCAGTGAGGAATGGCATCATAGGCAGGCTTTTTTGTGGACAGGACTAGTCTGGCAGCTGTAATCTGAGAAATGCTTCTCATTTTACCTAGAGCTCTAGAGATAAAAGCTTAACTACAGGAAGTGAAACAGGAGGAGAGCAACTCAGCAAGTGGTGGTGCTGCTGCTGAGGTGGGGTGGTGAAGGGTGAGGTGGGGGAGGGAGCAGGGATACTGTGAAAAAAGGAAGGAAAATGTTAGCAAAAAAGAAGGTATTTCTGCTGCAGAGTTTTGCTGCAAGGAAGCTTCCCAAGGAGCAGTGTGAGGTGCTTGTTTGCTCGTGATGCTGTAGCTTTTGGGCAGCCATAAGGGCTGAGCCTGTTCTGCTCACATATGAGGTTTCCTGGGAGCTGAGTGTGAGGAAGAGTTGGTGTGGGAGCTGTGGTTGGCAGTATTTACACCAGCTGGGCATTGGCTGTGCATTCAGAAATCTGTAGTCTGTGTAGTTCCTCTGTCCTTGTCCAGTTTGCTGTTTATCACCAACCTGAGCTGCTAGCAGGCAGCTGCTGTGGTCTTGTGCTACTTGATTGTTGTGTGTTGGCACAGGACACTTCTTTGAGTCCCCAAGAACACTGTGTAACTGAAGTGTTGTTTTTTTCCCTTTAGTAATCTCATTTTTGTTCCATTCAGGAAGCCAGCATGGAAAGATGGCTCCACAGCTACTTGTGTCTTAGCTGTTGACAATATTCTCTACATAGCCAACCTCGGGGACAGCCGGGTAAGCAAAATGGAGACCACTGGTGGCATCTTTATTCTGCCCAGAGCTTTGTGGGGTTTTTGTTTGTTTGTTTGGGATGTCTGAGTTGTCATGAGCTACTCAACTGTTCCTATAAGCATCTTGTTTTGGGTGGGTACAGAGTACTTCTGTGTTGTCTCCCATAGTGTAAAACAGTGGTGTGTGAAAGCTCTCTCTTGGTAGCGCTAAATATCTCACAGTATCAAGAAGAGAATTTGAATATTTCAGTTGGAATGGACCTATGACAATCATCTGGTCCAACTGCTTTGACCAGTTCAGGGCTGCCCTAAAGTTACACCATTGCTCAAGTGCCTCTCAAACACTGACAATCTGACAGTCACTGACATCTCTCCAGGAAGCCTGGTGCAGTATTTGGTTATATGCTCTATAAAGAAACACTTCCTAATGTCCAGCCTGAACCTCCCCTGGCCCTACTTTGAGATCAGCATTCCCATGAGATCATCACTTCCTTCTCCATGCCCCTGTCACGATCCACTAGGACATGCAGGGTGTTGTGATGGTTCATTTTACTGATCCCAAAAGTGCAAAAGGTAAACAGCAGGGACCATCAGCTTAATCACAACAAATGCACCTTTATTGAGTGCCAACAGCAAATGTGATAGAGGGATCAGAAAGGAAATAAAGGATAGAAAGAAAAAAAGAGGGGGAGGGGGATATAGCTACCAAACAGAGACTAAATCCTCGTGGTCCAGCTAATAGATCCGTCGTCATCCGTGAGGGTTCACTGAAGTCTTGGTTAACTTAGGGGTCTTTTATAGTTCTCTGCTGAGTGGGGGGGAATTGGTAATGGAGAAGGAGTCTATTGTAAAACAGGTACAGACAGTCCATGTTCCAAAGCAGGGCAAGTCAATTTCAGCAGTGAGTGAAACCCATTGTTTTCTTGGTCCAACAAACACACCTGTGGGAAACACTTGACAAACATCCTGCTTCAGTCAGACCAACACCCCTATGTTAGGATTATAGGGGTCTCAGTCCTTGGGAGGGGGCTTCAATCTCCATCCATCATGGTGGTCGTGAGGCAGATGGGGGGTTTTCCGTGGGAGATCACCAGAGTTACCCCAGAAAGTTCATTTTGCCAAGAGGTGGGAGAATTCATGGGTTTGGATGTTGTGAAGCAGGTGTAAATGTGTAGAGCAAGCTGCTCCTTGCCAGGCCCTGCCAAGAGCAGTGCAGCGTGGCAACACAGCAAACACACCTGCAAACAATCATTGGGTGAGCATCCACCTCAGCCAGGCCAGAGCTCCAGTCGGGGCCTTTCTGATCTCCGTCTCTGCCGTTGTGATGATCGTGAGCCAAAAATGAGGGGAACTTTGGCTGTTTCTTACACCCCCTCCTCAGGAAGCTGCAGAGGGGGATGAGGTTGTCCCTCAGCCTCCTTCTCTCCAAACCGCACAAACCCAGAGCCCTCAGCCTCCTCACAGGTCATGCCTTCCACCCCCAGTGTGGTTCTCCCCTTCTGGAGACACTCAAGCACCTTCCCACCATCTCTAATGCTGGAGTGCTCTGGGTGAGGCCGCCCCAGTGCTGAGCACAGCCAGGCCATCCCCTCTCCTGGCCTGCTGCCCACGCTGTGTCAGGTGTCCCCAGGATGCCACCTGCCCTCCTGGCCATGGTTCCTGCTGAGCTGCTGCCAACCAGCACCCCCAGACCCTTCCAGAGGGCAGCTTCCCAGCCACTCCTCTCCCAGCTTATGCTCGTGCTCAGCCTTGCTCCACCCTGGGTGCAGAACCCAGCACTTGGGCTCAGTAATTCTGTGCCACTGGCATTGCCCCATGGTGCATCTGTGCAGATCCCTCTGCAAGGCCTCTTGTCCCTCCAGAGAGCCCACAGCACTCCCAGCTTGGTATCATCAGCAAACTTGGTGCATTCAGCTCTTGTATCCAGATCACTGATAAAAGCACTGAACAGCACCTCCTGCCTAGAAATGAGCCCTGAGAAACACCTGGCCACCAGTCCCTGGCCTGTTGTAGCACCATTCACTACAGTTTGGGGCTCTCTCTCAAGAAGCTGTTACTGCAGTTTTGTTGTTGTTTGATGGTGGTCTTCTGTCAGCACAGGCCATTCTGTGTCGTTACAACGAGGAGAGTCAGAAGCACACGGCCTTAAGCCTCAGTAAGGAGCACAACCCCACCCAGTATGAGGAGCGGATGCGGATACAGAAAGCTGGGGGAAACGTCAGGTGAGTGCCTGAGGGTATGAATTTGCTGATCTAAACCCTAGCCTGATTTGGGGCCTGACCATTGAGGTTTTGAGGCTTCCCGAGCCCAGTATGCATCATAGTTGAAAGAATCTGTTGCTGCCTGAGGCCTGTAAAGATTCGGTTCCTGGAGTTTGTTGATGGTTCCCAGAGCCTTTGGATGGCCAAGGCAGGACCCATGTGACAGTCTGGCAGTGGGATACCAGCATAGGCATGCTTAAACTTCACCTACAGATTTGGACCTATGGAGGTGGATTGGATTGTTGAGGAAGTTACTGCTTTCTGCACACTGTGGTGCTGGACAGAACTCATTTCTTTGCAGCATAACTCCTCTGTCCTTGTCCTGTGAGAGGGGGCATGGTTTGAGAGAGCACAAAAAGCCCGCGATGTACCTTGGTGTTGCTCCCCTGGGGTTAGCTGATGCACTGAGGATCTCTGCATTAGGAAGGAGATTCTGGAGCCAAAATATGATTATCCTAATGTTCCTGTGCAAAAAGGAGTTTGTGGCTGCTTGGGGAGTAGGTGCCAAACACAACAGCTGAGTCTTGTTTCCATGGCTAGGTTCTCTCTCTTCTTTGTAGGCTGTTTCTTGATTTAGTGGCATCATAACAAAGAGAGGATTCAGTGCAGGTGAAGTGTCTTCATGCCTGTGGAAGCAAAATGCACCCAGGGTGGAGAGGGGTGGGCTCAGTTCTGTTATGCTGCTGTGTCTGGAATGCTTTGTTCCCCTTATCTCTGGGGAGCACATGCTGCCACTTACACTCAGCACTGATCTCTCTTTGCACATGGCAAAGAGATGGCCCGGTGTCTGTTAGCTCCTTTCAGAACTGGTCCCTGACTGCCTGGGAGCCTCTCCCACTGCTTGTAGTTCAATATTTTGGGCCCAAGAGATAAGCCACACAGTCTGTGAGTGTTAGATCTCTTCTCTGTGACATGCCTTGCTTCTTGCTTTTATCTCAAGCGGGGCTGCTTGGGCTATGAGATGAATGAGCTTTGTGTGTTCTCAGAGGGCACAGAAGAGCCTTTTTGGAGACAAGATGCTTGATTGTTGGAAAGGTGAAGTGTGGGAAGCTGTTTCTCTAGGGAGCTTGGTTAATTAGAAAAGTTTAACAACCCAGAGCTGTTTCCTAAAGGGTGTTGTAATGTAGGTTTCACAGAAACTGCTTGCTGCAATCAGTGGTTACTAAAGACCAAGTGATCAGAGCTGAACATACCATGTTTCTCACTCCTGGGAACTGCCTGCAGCTGGGCCAGTCTCTAGGGGTTGGTGTCCTCACACAGGACACAGGAGGGGCTGCTGACTCAGACCTCTTGCCTCTGCCACTCTGTGCTTCTAGTGAAGAGCAGTTTGCTGGATATCTTGCCAAAAAATAATCTCTATTCAAACTATGCCACTGGGAGTTCAGCTCACATATAATTTTACTGCCTCAGTTTGCTAGACTAAGCAGGACTTGAGTTCGGGCAAGGTGACAGAAAACAGCCTTGAAGTCTCCTGGCTTCATTTCCTCCTCCCCCTCCCTTGTTTCCCAGAGCTTCACACATACAGAAAGAAAAGGAGGCTTTGAAGGGAAGGTTTGAACTTGCTGGGGAACTGGGTCATTATTTGTACAAGCAGATGGATGCACGAAGTGTCCCCATCAGGCAGTGCAGTGAAATACACCCGTGGGGAGGGCTCTCAGTGTGTTCTTTCCTTGTGCAGGGACGGGAGAGTCCTGGGAGTGCTGGAGGTTTCTCGCTCCATTGGGGATGGCCAGTACAAGCGCTGTGGTGTGATCTCTGTGCCAGATATCAAACGCTGCCAACTCACACACAACGACAGGTAAAGTGTGCCCTTGCACGGGGGGTTGTCCCAGCTCTGCTCAGCAGAAGCTGCTCATCCCTGTTTGCTCTGCTGTGAGAGCCAAGGCACTTCAGACTGATCTCCCCAGAATTAGAGGAGGCTCTTACTGCTGCTGTCTCTCTGCTTCTGTTCATTGTTAGAACAGTGGGATAATCTGCTGCTCTGCCAAGATACTGTGAAGGCTCCTCTTGGGGGAACCAGCCTCACAGGAATAGCATACACAAGCCTTAGATGTCCTTCATGCTCTCATTAAGTTCACAAATCAGTGTTTAAGCAGGTAGTTGAGGCTTGGGTTCTTGGGTCTCCATTCTGTCCAGGAGTCGTTTCTAGTAGCTGTAGTGCCCATAAATACTTTTGCATTCAGCTCTGATATTTGAAGATTTGAGATACTTTTTCATTATATGATTGGCAACAACAAATTGCAGTGAGCTTTTGTGTCAGTAGAGCCCTGCAGACTCTCAGAGATGAGAGTGTAACCCAGTACTGCTGCTTTTTCTGGGATTAGAGTTCCATATCAAGTGATCCACTAAAATATTTCTAAAGATACTCTTGAGTATCATGCACTGAAGTTATGTCTTCAGAGGCATGTGCAGGCTGACCACTTCTGTAGGTTTGCTGTAGTTTTCCTTGTCCTGGTGACTCTGGTTTGGGCTCCTGTGCAGGCAGGGAGTGCACAGCAGGCTGCCTCCCCATCCTTATGGAGATGCTGTCCTTGCCTTGGGCTTTCTATCTCCTGGACCTTCTGCAGCCTGTGGCAATATTTTGTGTCAGAGTTTTCTGATCACAGTTGTGTCACATGATTTTCTTTTGAATTTGCATATTGAAATTACCTCAGGAGTGTAGAAATGTAAAGTGATGTACATGAGGGATTCAGCTTTGTTTCTCTATTTCCTTGCATTAGCTGCTTCACAGGGAAAATTCATGAATGAAAAGGTCTCAAAGGAAAGAAGCAGTTCTTAGAGAAACAGTGGAGCATTTGACCAGGATCATATATGATCTTGCAAGTTTTGTAAGACAGCCAGGACGTCCTGATCAAGGTCTTATGTTAGTTGCCTGGCTCTTGGTCCTGTACTTTGAATTGGCATGGACGTTAGGTCCCAAGGGATTTTCAGATGAGCTTTTATGGCATCTTCCCTTTGGATCTGAGCATGGACGTTCATAAAACAGATTTTAGTGATTTTATTGTAGCTGAGGAGCCAAAAATTCAGCCTTGGAATCTGTCTCCACTTGATTTCCAGGTTCATTCTGATAGCGTGTGATGGCCTGTTTAAAGTCTTTACACCAGAAGAAGCTGTGAACTTCATTGTGTCCTGCCTGGAGGTGAGAAGTGGCCTGGGGGCTGGGTTTGTCAGTGCAGGGGGCACAAAATGGACTTCTGCCAGAGAGTCCTTCCTTTTCCCAGTGCTTGGAAAATGCAATGTACCTACCTTTGCTGGGAGCAGTGAAATTCCTTTGTCCCAACAGGATAAGAATATCCAGATGAGAGAGGGGAAGCTGGAAGCCGACGCTCGATACGAGGCCGCGTGTAACAGGCTGGCCAACAAGGCAGTGCAGCGGGGCTCGGCCGACAACGTCACCGTCATGGTGGTCCGGATAGAGCACTGAGGGACGAGATGTGCTGGCTGCAAGGAGGGGAGAGGTCTGTGTGCATGCATGTGTGCCTGGGGGCGGGTGAGTCCTGCTGGATGCTCTTCAGTGTAAATAAAGATGGTTTTTTTCTAATAGGTTTAGCTCACTTAGTAGTAGGGTTGAATGTCTTGGCAAATGCAGTGAATTCATTTGGCAGGGGTGCTAGCAGGAGGCATCTGGGGGCATGAGCTCTGCTAGCTGTTTAATGGGTCAGTTTTTCTCTCCACATCCTTGAGCTTTATGCAAGACCCTGAGAGAGTCTGGAGTTGCAGGCCTCAGACAGACTGTACCATGCAGACTGAGGTGCTACAGGCCACCAGCTTGGGATTTGATTTGAGCTGTCTCTTCACACTAGGTAGAAAACCTGGCTCTGAAGCTGGGCTGTGAGGTTGCCTGCAGCTGAGGTACACAAACACCCCTTGCAGAGCAGCAGCATACCTGTCCTGTGCTTGCAGAACATGTTGGAGTTTTACCACAATGTTGGTATGGGAGAAGTGGCTGGAGTTTGCTCCTGATGTTTTTTGGAAAAGGTGTTTTTACCAAATGGACTTGCCAGGCAGCTGAGCTGCAGGCAGGCTCTGTGCTTGTCTGTGCTATCTGAGGAGGAGGCATCTCAGGTTTTAGGTACGTATAAGTGTCTGGTCCTGTCTCAGTGCCTCTACCAGCTGTTGCTGCAGTCAGTGTGCTGTTTTCCAGAGAAAATTTGGCCTAAGACCAAACGACAGAATGAAAGCTAAATGGATTGGGCTTCCTAAGCCCTGAAGTTTCCAATTTCCCACTCTGTGTGTGAGGGGGCAGGGAGGGAGGTGGGCTGAGGGGTCTACATTGTGGTTGCCTCCTTGCTCTGATGAGGCACAGCAGGGGAGGGGGGCAAGGGCAGGGTGCCTGCTGTTGGGAGGCTTCCCTGGCTCCTTTCCGTTTTCTGTATCCCTGGAAGTTTGGGAGATGGTCCCAGCTCCTGGGCTGTTTGCTGGAGCACACAATGGCTGTCCTGTTTGGGACAGGTGGCTTGACCATCTTACTTCTATTTCTGCTCCAGCAGTAGTGAGTTACACTTCATGGGCTTAGTCTGAGGGTGCACACTGACTCTGCATCTCCTGCAGAGCACTGAGGAAGGAAGTGGCCCTCTGGCACAGATTTTGGGTAGTGCTTGTCCTCTGTCATCTTGTTCTGCTCCCAGCCATTCCTGTGTATTTTGATATAAGGTTGCAGTGCAGGATGAACTGAGTGAAAATGCCTTTGTTAGCAGCACACTCTCCTGTTTCTACTCTTGAAAGGCGAATTTGGAGAGCCCATACAGAGTAGCGTGGAGTTGCTTCTGTTTGTGGCAAAATAAACCCTGATGGCAAATTTCAGAAAGGCAACTTGCTTTCCCTTCGCAGCTCCCCCTTTTTCCAGACCCAAACACCCCACCCAAAATTGCTGCATTAACAGCTCCTTCACCAGGCACCTCAAGGAGATGCAGCCTGTGGAGAAGGGCAGGCAGGGCCAGGGACATCCCTGGGAGAAGGTGGGGCTGTTGGCTCAGCCTATCTTGCAGTGCTGCTGGCACAATTTATCCAGTACCGAGTGCTACTCGGAAATCAAACGCTCAGCCTTCCTGGTGCTTCTGCTGCAGCCCTGCTCGGTCACGTAGGCCTGTGCCCATCCTGAGCTCAGGCAGCTATCGCAGCCAGAGCAAAGAGCTGTGCTGTATCTGTGCCTCCCACAGCCAGGCCCTGCGCCACAGGCAGGGAGTGCCCGCTCTGGAAAGTCACAGGGCAGGAATTTGCTTTAATCCAACGTGCGGCGTTATTGGGACTTTGCTTTGATGATTAGTGCAAAGGATGTTGGCTCCTGCCAGCAAACCCTCTGTTCATACATTGCAGGGGGCTAAAGCACTACATAATCTGGCTTGGAAGTCCATGAAGGGCAAAAATGGGGGGCTTTTACCAGGCACAGTGGGAGCTGAGCCCTAGGCTGCCATCCGCTGCCACTGTCAGCAGTGTTTTCCAAGATAAACTTCTAGGCCTAGCCTTTAGATAAAAGTGAATGCCTTTAGATCCTGGTCAGGTTGCTTTATTACCATCATCATAATCATCTTCTTCATGATCTTTTGTCCATCTTTAGCTGGTTCTGCAGTGTGAGCAGTATCGGACCAGACTGTAGTTTCCTGCATGAGCAAACAGTCTTCCTTAGGCTTGGTGCTGAGCACGATGGTGGCTGGCAGAGGGAAGGGTCTGGCTGCTTCTGGCACAGGTTCAGCATGGTTCAGCCTCTTCACACTCCCAGCAGAACAGCACTGAAATCGGAGCCACTTTGAACTGTGAGGGGAGAGCCCGCCGTGTTGTCCACGAAAACAGAGGCATACTGCCCAGCCTGGGGGAAGAGAGGGATTAGGGCCAGGACGCCTCCCTGGGCACCAGGCATGGCCTGGCAGAGCCAAGGAGAGCGCTATCCCCTGCACACAGCAACCAAGAGGAGCTGCCCTTACCTTTCCTTCTGGGAAAAGTGCAGCCTTTAGGGCAGCCCAGCCACAGTGTGTGCTATAATGCCCTCACTGTCTTTGGGGTTTGGAGGTCACCTGAGCAGCAGACCTGATGCCCAGCCCTGGGCTCGGGCCATGGAAGGCACCTTCCTGCCCAGCACCGTCACCAGGAGCTGGCACCACTCACCTGCAGGTACAGGGTGCCTGTGACAGAGATGGTGAAAAGGTCACCACTGCTCTCCAGCTGGGATATGCTCTCCAGATGGCTGCAGAAGAGGAAGGACAGCGGTGGGGGTAGCAGGCCCCTCCTTTCCCAGCAATGCTGGGCTCCTTCCCCCGGCCCTGGCCCTGGCCTTGCCCTGCCATACCTGTTGTGCTGGCAGCAGGACTGCACACAGATCAGCACCCGCAGGCGGCTCCCTCGGCATCCCTGCCTCCTCCTCCGCGGCTCCCGGCGTGCTGGGACGGAGCAGGGGGTGAGACCATCCCAGCCTGCCCCGGCAGGGCCGCGGGGCTGTCGCAGGGCTCACCAATGTGCAGCGTGCTGCTGAAGGTGTAGAATCCTGCAAAGGGAGCTGTGTACTGCCCGCTGGTCAGGTTCAGCCCTGGGCCACGGTGGAACATCCCCTCCTTCTCAGGCTGGCATAGGGAATGCCCAGAGTTAGAGGAGGAGTCCCTGTGCCCGGGCAGGTGCCCCTGCAGACAGGGAAAAGGGGCAGGCTAGGCACTTACAATATAGAACAGCCCCAGCTCCTGCCACATCTTCTCCACAACGATGTCTTCACGGGTTTGACAATGGAAGGCTGCTTCCACACGACGCTGGGCCCTGGCCTGGGGGCTGCCTTTGCTGCTTTCTTCCTCCTTACACCCTTCCCCAGCTGTCCTGCACATCTTTGCCGCGCCTGACCCCAAACCCCACCGGAGTTTGACGTTAGGAAGGGAACCTTCCCTTACGCTGGCTCTGCTGCTCAGCCCTGCTGTCCCCACCGCTGCCACCCCGGGGTCCCAGCGCGGTACCTGTGAGCAGGAGCTGCAGCTCCCTCAGCAGCTCCTCCGCTAGGGCGGGGGAGGCCGGGCCAGCCCCGCTGCCGCCGGCCTGCGCGGCTCCCGAGCTTGTTTTTCCCGGAGATCCGGGGCCCCGATCGCCGCTGCCCGTGCCGGGGCTCCCGGCCAGCAGCATCCACGCCTGCCGGGGGTCCACGCGGGCCGCCCCGGGCTCCCCACGGCCCAGCGGCCGCTCCCGGGCTGCCCGCGGGGCTCCGGTGCCGGCGGCGTAGAGGAGCGCCAGGCACAGCTCCGGCAGCCGCATCCCGGCCCCGCCTCGCCGCTGGGCTCTGCCCTCGGGGACCTCCCCGCGGGGAAAACCCCGCGTGGGCCGAGCGGAGCAGCGCCGGGAGCGGGCGGTGCCCACCCCGCCCCGGGGGCTCCTCAGCGCGGCCAAGTGTTGGTAACGCTTCGGAAACACCGAACAACCGGAGGGGAACAGCTGAACCGGCCAGCGGGGAAGCCCCGTTTTGTGCTCACCCATCCCTCTGCCCCCGGTACCGGGGCTGGGGTAGGAGTCACCGCACCAGCACGGGCTCGCTAGGGTGCCAGCTGCTTCACCATGGCCATGGATCGCTTCCCTGGGGTGCATGCTGCGCATCCCAGGAGAGAAAACAGGGCTTTGCACAGGCTGCTGCCCCCAAGCAGCAATGTCAGGCTTTGATGGGATGAACCACACTTTGGGAGGACTTGAATACCCAGAAATCTTTAGGGTTTTTTTGTTGTTGTTTGTTGGGGTTTTTTTTTTTGGGAGGGGGGGGCGGGTGGGAAATGCAGTTCTAAAAAAACCACAAACCCACAAATGAAAAGTAGAGAGCATTAACCAAAGCATGTTTATAAGGAAAAGCCTTTTCTCTGCAGTGGTGGGGGAGAATATGCTCCTGATGCCCCAGCCAGCCTGGCACAGGGCTTTCCACCTCCCACTCGCCAATCTGAACAGGCAGCAGAAAAAAGGGAAGCATGGCTGCATAGGGTGACAGGCATCACTGAGGCTCTCCTACCACCCATGGTCACCCTGGAAAGGTTCTGTCCATTTAGAAGTGTCCATGAAGATGGAGGAAGAGCTGTGGAACAGCCAGAGACAAGGCAGGGAGCCCTCGCACGTCCAGAGGTCCTTGGTGCAGTCATACACCTCCATTTCTACCCGGTAGTCCCCATCCATGCCCTTCCAGTGGCCACCGGTGACAAAGAGCCGGTCACCCAGTGCCACCATCCCACCGTTCTCATGCAGTGTGTGTAGGAGCTGCACCTGTGTGAGGGACAGAGTGAGATGTGCAGGGACTTCTTGGTGACCTCCTACTCCCAACAAAGGACAGTGACCCACCGGAAGTGTCTCCCTACCCCATCTTTCCTATCTGTGGGGTTTGGGGGCCTCTAGTGCCTCGTGCGTGTGTGATGGGGAGCAGGGGAGGAAGGAATGGGGCATCCTCAGCTCTGCAGGTGTTAACAGAACCAAGGATGAGTGGGTAGGAGGGAGAGGGGTGTGCTGGCACTGAGGGGAAGCAGCTGGGAACACATCCCCATATCCCTGGGAGGCTGATCATGCCTGGTCCCACATCCCACCTTCTGCCAGATGTTGGCCTCTGGGTTGTACACGTGGACCTTCTTGGTGTTATCCCCGATGAGATAGATGAGCCCGCGCAGAGTGGCGCAGCGTGGGGCTGAGAGGTACTTGGGGATGAAGGGAGACGTGATCACACTCCACAGATCTGCAAGGAGCAGCCATTAGCACCCCACCCCTGGCTCTCCATGCAGCTGCCAGTCGCTGAAAAAAGCATTGCTATTTCAGGGGGAATTTGAAAGGGAGGAGGCAGAGCAGCCAGGCAGACTGGCACCGCAGTCCCCATCCCAGTCGAGGGTCCTACATAAAAAATAGAGGGGGGGGGTGAGGATGTGGTTTGTAGTGGTGCTGTGGGATGGAAAAGAGTCTGCTTGAGGATCTGGCATTGTCACAAGGCCTTAGTTTCTCCCTAAGGCAGGCAGCCTCCCCCATCTCAATGCCTCAGAGATTCCACTCCGACAAAGCCGAGCTCTGAGCTGTGTCAGACACTGTGACTCAGGTCCATGCTGCTAACAGCACGGCCATCACCACACCCTGTCAGCACCTGCTCACATCCCACAGGACCATGCTTGGCAGTCCAGGGGTGCCACCTGCTTGGGGGTCCCCCTCAGTCCCTCTCCCAGGGACAACCCTGGCGGGGTGTGGCAGCAGGGTCAGCTCTCACCTTGCACGGGGTTGTAGCACTGCAGAGTGAGCGCGTTGTACTTGACGGCGCAGGAGCCCACCAGGTAGAGTTTGCCCAAGCAGCTGGCAGCTGCAAAATTGCTCACGTACTTGAGGGCTGGGCTGATGGCACACCAGCTCTTGTTGTACGGGTCATAGCGCTCCACCTCCACCACATCCACTGTTGTCCCTGCAGGGTGACAGGACACTGCAGCCACCCTGCTGCTCTGGGGCACCCGTGGACCCCCATGCTAGCAGCACCCACAGGGTCTTTGCAGCCTTACCCCCGATCACATAGATTTCACCATTGAGGACAGCGCTGGTGTGGTTTGTCCTGGCTCTCAGCATGGAAGCGATGGGCTGCCAGACTCCATCCCTGGGGCAGAAGCACCAGGCCTGCGTTGTTGACCACGTGTCATTCTGGGACCCCCGGGAGCCACCTAGAGAGAGACAGGTCAGGTGGGCCACCCTCTCCAAGTGCAGCTGTCCCTGAGTATTCCTTGCCTGTGGCCAGATTTGCCCAAGCAGAGAGGAAGAAGAGGATTTTGCTCAGAGAGGAGCCTCTGGCCCCACAGCAGTGCCTCATGCTGATATCATTGTCCCCTCTCCTCCATCCCTGCTCTTTGAAGCCCCACCCTGCACCACCAGCCCTGGCACTGACCTGTGACGTACACATCATTGTTCAGAGCCACCAGGGAAAAGCCCCACTTGTTGTAATCAGGGAAGTCAGGCAGAGCCATCCATCGCCCTGAAACCCAACAGAGCCAAGCAATGACCCCACAGCCAGCAATGGCACTTTTTAAGCCACCCCTGTTTCAAGCCCATCCCAACCCCACCAGTGTCTCTCTAAACCGGTTTGGCAAGAGGTGCCTTCAGGGTAGACAGATGGATAATTAACATGGAGGAAGTGGGGGGCACTTACTGCTTTTGGGGTTGTAGAAGGCAAAGTTCCTGGTGGCAGCTGGCATTTCCAGCCCCCTCTCCTCATCCTCACCATCCTCCAGCACACGGCCACCAACCACCACCAGCACCTCCTCCAGCTTCTGTGGTGGGGCTGGGGGGTTCTTCAGGGCACCGGTGCCACTCTGCCCCTGCTGAAGAGTGGGACTGTCAGGCACCTCCTTCATGGCTCAGGAAGTGTCATTTAGGGGAAGGAGGTACGCACCATGGTGCGGGATCGGGCAACGAGGGCCTTGCTGGCATCTGAGTCACGAACAAGAGGCTCAGTGGCAAGAAGGTTCTGCAGGTACTGGTCAGGCAGCGAGACAAGGTGGGTCAGCTCCAGCAGCTCTGGCAGGAACTGGGCTCGGGATCCCGGGTCGTGGCGTACCCAGCGCAGTACAGCCTCAACCAGGCTCCGCTCCTCCTGCACCTGCAGCTGGTCATTGGAGAGGTAGACAGCCAGCCTCTCCTTGGAGAGCTGGAGGAACTCCTCCTGAAGAGAGACGGCTTCAAAGTTCTCCTGCAAGAAAGACCAGGCCTTGGAGGAGACCTCAGGGCAGCCGTGGCTCTCACCAAACTCACAGATACCTAGGCAGTTGGTGGCATCCATCTGCTGCCGGAGGTAGCGGCTGCAGACCTTCTGGATGGCAGGGAAGTGGAGCTGGCTGGAGGTCCGCATCAGCCCCTCCACATTGCCCTGGTTGATGGTGACCTTTCCCGTGTAGGCAAAATCAAGCAGCATCTCCAACGCACTGGGGTCTACTTCCTTTAGCTCCACCCGTGCTGCGATGCTCTCAGCAAAGTCACCGGAGAACATGGCATAGAAGTAGTGGCTGCAGAGGGCCAGGATGCCTCGGTGGCAGGGAAACTCCCGCCCGCCGGCCACCAGCGTCACGTCGGCCAGTTTGGGGTTGGTGCGGAACTGCTGCAGGCCCTCCAGCACGCCCTGGGCGTGCGAAGGCAGGCAGAAGTCAAAGTCGTCCATGTTCCTCACCATGGTGCCGGGGATGGCCGTGGGGCCTGGCAGGCGGGCAGTGCCCGAGCAGCGGAAGGCGAGAGTGTCCCTGCTAGGAAAAGGCGACGGTGTCTCCCTCTCCCCCTGCCGCGACATCCTCCCCCCTTCCCAGCGCCGGAGTCACAGACAGCAGCGGCTGCACAAGCGCTTCCCACCGCCCCCCTCCCACGATGGCCGCGTTTTCTCCTCACCACGCCGCAGCTGCCCTGCCGGGGCGGCGACCGGCCTTTTGGGGACGATTTTCGGGGTGATTTGAGCCCTCTCGGCGCGGTCGCTCCCGCTCTCAGCAGTGCTCCCCAGCCCGGCCGGCCCGCGGGAGGGAAGGGACCGCGGTCCCGGCGCTGGGCAGGGACACGCCGCATGACACGGGATCAGCCGGGACCAGGGGCACTCGCTATTTTTAGGCGGCACCTGGACACTGCTCCCTGCTCTTAAAGGCACCGCACGGGCAGAGCTCTCGCCGCCGCCCATCTGCGTCGTTGCCCCATCCCGCGGCGGTGTTGCCTTTAGGAAGGCCTCCCCCTCGCGAAGGGGTCGGCTGGGCACCGAGCCTGGAGGGACAAGCTCCCAGGGCATCCTCCCTCCACCCCACCGGCAGCAGGGGCTCCCCGCGATGCCCCTCCTCGCTGCTCCGGCTCGCACTGCCGCTGCCGCTATAAATAGAGGTGGTTCTCACCCCGCGGCAGCCGTAAACACGCGGCGGCAGCCGAGGACTGAAACACCCGCCCTGGGAGAGGGGGAGCTGGGCTGCTGAGGCGGCCCGCCCAGCTTAGCAGCTTTCTTCACCGCCCCGGAAAGCCTCGCTTAGCTGGGACAGAACCGAGAAGGTTTTTATTGCAGCACGCGGCCTCCGAGGCCCCTCGGCATCACTCCTCCAGGCTGAAGATCTCGGCTTCCTTCTCCTTCCAAAAGGCGAAGCTGCGATCGATGTAGCGACAAATCTCGTCGCCCTCCTCCCCGGCCTGCCCCGGCCGCTGGGCCGGGCTGTGCGAAGTCCCGAAGTACCGTGCCTTGATGTCGTCGAAGCCGTCGCGCCAGCCGCGCCGCCCGGCCGCGATCTCGTCGATGACGGCGCGGTGGAAGGCCCGCACCGCCCGCCAGCCGTGCCGGCCCAGCTGCTCAAACACCTCGAAACAGAGCAGGTGGCGGCCACGGCGCTCCTCGGGGGGCAGGTCCTGCTCCAAGATGCGGAAATAGCCCAGCATGAACAGCTCCAGCGACAGGCTCTCGTACTCGGCCGGGCCGCCCCCCGCCGCCGACACGAACTGCTCCGGAGAGAGCAGGGTGCGGGCGGGGGGCGGCGGCGGGGGCCGGCGGGAGGCGGCGTCCCGCCAGCCGCTCAGCAGCTTCTGGATGGCCGCTCTCTGCCGCGCCAGGCGCGCCGCCGCCCGGGCCCCGCTCCCCGCTGCCTCCCGCGGGTCCCCGGCGGCGGGCCGTAAGGGCGCGTACGCGGAGCGTCTCCAGTGGCTCAGGAAGAGCATCACGATCCGTTCCTTCCTCAAGCTGCCCCACTCGGGCCCCGGCCCCTTCCCGTGCCGCGGGGAGCCGCCGTCGGAAAACGCCTCCTCGCAGCTGATGCCCGAGTCGCTGGCGGCCTCCGCCTCGCCGCCCGCGGCCGGAGCGCTCCCCGCGGCCCCCCAGGCGGGCTCGAAGGCGCCGCGGAGGCTGCGGACACAAACGCCGCACTGGCGGATCTCCCGCTGCGCCAGGCTGCCCCCTGGCTCCCGGGGATGCCCGGCGGCGGCGGGGAGAGCGGAGGTGGCGGCGGGCGCGGCGACGGCGGCGCAGGGACCCCGCACCCCCTCGGCGCTGCCCAGCAGCGCGGCCAGGCTATTGACGGCGCCGGCCAAGCGGCCGCACCAGAGGGGCAGGGGCTGCCCCGGAGCAGGCGGGGGGCTGCGGACGGAGATGCTGAGCAGCGGCGCGGGCAGGAGGGCGCGTAGCTCCCGCACCAGGCGCCGCAGCTCGCTCTGGTACACCTCGCCGCGACGCCGCAGCCGCAGGCTCTCCACCGCCCTCTCCAGCTGATGCAGGTCTGTCTCGGTCAGCAGCTCCCCGAACGGGCCCAGCACGGCTTGGTGGGAGGGCGAGAAGCTCCAGGAGCCCGCATCCTGCGGAGAGAGGCGGTCAGCGGCTTCCGACAGCCCGCGCCCCCTCTGCTCCCCGTGCCTCTCGTACCTGTCCTCCCGCCGAGTCCTCGTCCGCCAGTCGGGCCCGCAGCCGCCGCACCATCACTTGCCGCTTCCACTCGGGGATGAGACGGCCCCGCTCATCGTGCGTGGGCACCAGGGATTCCGCGTCTACCTCCGCGGGGTCCGGCCTGGGGGGGCCCGCCGGCCCAAGCGCCCCGTCCTGTGCGGACAGAGTCACGGGGGCTCGAAGGGTACGGCCGCCGACGGGATGAGCCGGGGGCCGCGGGCCGAGCCAGCGACCTACCGGGTGGGCGAGGAAGGGCGCCGGGATCCTGGCCCGCTGCGAGGGCTTGCGGAGCTTCAGCTCCACCGGCACCGACCTGCCGGGCTCCATTCCCTGCCGGGCCGGGCGGCTGCTGGGGGCAGAGGCGCGGGCCTCCTCCTGGGGGAGGGCAGCAAGGGGAGGTGGGCCCAAAAACCTCCAGGGCCCCCCCAGCTGAGGGGTGGGCCGACACATCATCCCGGACCTTAGGGAGAACCGTCCTCGGGGGACAGCCACGGTTGGATCTGATTCCTTCAGAGGACAGGACGGAGCTGTGGAATCTCTGCTGCCCGCTATTTCCCTGTAGCCAAGGACCGAGCCCCGGGCTGTCCCATGGCCACCAACCCTTCTCCGAGCATCTCATGCCCCCAGCCCGTCCTCCCACTCCCTGGGGTGACAGGCTGGCATTCCTCGGGAATGGGGGTGCCCACTGCCCCAGCCCCAGTGGGGTCTTACCTGCTAGGGGGGGGCTGAGCTGGCTGCTGAAGGGGGTTGGGTCCTGTAGTGTCGGGTTCAGGGAACACCCGGAGGTGGTGCAGCTGCACCCCCAAAGTCCCTGTTTGGGAAGCAATGAGCAAAATGGGCCAGGAGGGGAGGTTGGAGTGGTCAGGCAGCCCTGCAGTGCTGGGCAGGGCACAGAGGCATTGAGCATTGTATTAATATTTGATGGGGCATCGAGTGGCAGCATCAGGGCTCAGTGGGTGGAACTGGCGCTGTTCCTGGAGATAGTAGCTTGGTGACTTGGCTCCAAGCCTTGTCCTCCTCTTGGGGCCAATAGAGAATGTCTGAGTCTGGTCATGGCCCCAGACCAGGTACTGGGAACAGAGGAAAGATCTTGCCCAGTGGCACTGAGGACAGGTTCTGGCAGTGGGACACGTTCAGCAGATGGTTCTGCTGCACCACTGCCTGGGCATCAGTTACTGGCATTCAGTCACATTTGTGTTCTTTCTCTCCACCACCATCCATTATATATGGCCAGCATGGACTCGTGGGGCTCACTTACATGTGAGAAATTCAATCGAGGGGCTGGAATAAAATTAAGAAGCAGCAGATCTAAGCCTATAAACACTGATTAGCTGGCAAGGATCCATTACAGAGTCAGCCTCTCATGCTTCCCTGGCTCCAGTGCAGGCTGACTCTCTCATGAGGAGGTTAAGCTTATGCTGTTCAGCAATAGAAACCCAGCCTGAATGCAGGTTATGCTTTGCTGTAGGAGGGGGGAATTTCCGGAAAGCCCTTTGACACAGGGTTGTGCCAGGGCTGTCTCCCCCAGCCTGGAGAGCATCTCCTGGGATTTCAGCTCTCCACAGTGCAAGGGTGTGCAGAAGCATGAGAGGAGAGGAGGTTCTGCCCTAAACCTTCATCTCTGCCTCTTTTCTCACCCTGTTCCTCAGGAAAGCAGGCACTGGCCCCTTTGGGATCTGCTCATAAAGTCTTGAGGGACTTAGCTTTCCCTTTCCCTTTCCCTTTCCCTTTCCCTTTCCCTTTCCCTTTCCCTTTCCCTTTCCCTTTCCCTTTCCCTTTCCCTTTCCCTTTCCCTTTCCCTTTCCCTTTCCCTTTCCCTTTCCCTTTCCCTGCTGCATACCCAGAAGGATGAGCAAAGCAGCACAGAAACAACCAAGGATGGCCTCTCTCCTCCAGCTCCAATAACCACATTCACCCCTCTGCACCAGTTCTTCAGCCTTATCCCACCCTCTGCCTATGTTCCCACGGCCGTATCCTTCCCTCTCCCACAGCTCCCACTCCCTCAGTCCTGCACTAAAGAGGACTACAGCGGGTTTTTTTGAAAGTTATGTAACAAAAAACAATGGTACACGCCCAAAGAAAAAGTTCAAAGAAAGATCACCTGTAATATTGATGCATTCAGTGAATATACCCACCAGACACCCCTTCAGATGAAATTGGGGACTACAAAAGGACTTGCAGTAGAAGGCTAATGCATGCAAATTGGTTCTAGGAAAGTGGGGTTTGTGTATTGCTACCTTGACTCTTAAGATTTTCTAAAGCCTTCTGATTTTACATTCTTGTAGAGAAGTTTCACACACAACTTTCTGTAAACTAACTATTGTTTACCATTCCTCCACAGAGGCAGAGAAATTTGACATACTAGTAGTTTGTCCAATGTCATTGGAGAGGTGGCATATTCACCCTCCAATCCACTGTCACTTTTAGAAAAGTATAAAAGCTGGAGTCAGAAAATAAACTTCCTCTTTTTCACCTTTGCAATAGCAGCGGCTCGCGTTGTGCTTTCAAATGTCCTATAGTGACAGGGTATTAGATAGGAGGCGCATTGTAATGAATCTGTAAGTTCAGGATGGAATAAATACCCTGTTGTGAACTTTTACCACACACATCAGATTCAAGGAGACACTCTTCCGCGGGTCCGACGCTGATAAAGAATGTTTGCTTTCTAATGCTTCAAATGAACAAAAAAGTTTATTTTACAGCTAATATCCTAATATCAATATCCTACCCTCTTCCTAAGTTTCTACAACTATATGCTTTCCCTCCCACAGCTCCCACTCCCCCAGTCTCGAAGCTATGTACAAATGGCCGAAGAAAGCAGCCGAGGCCCTTCTCAGCAGCCTGGATTTCAGTTCCGAGGGGCCACGGAGGATCCACATCACATGAAGATGACGGGCGGGCGGTGCTGGTTGTCCCCTGCGGGCAGCGCCTCATCTAACCACGGCGGCCGCAGTCCCAGCCCGTTTCTCCGCAGATCCTCCAGCTCTCTCCGGGGCCGCTGGCGGGGCACAGGGCTCGGTGCCCGGTCCCCATCGGCGAGTCTTCGGCGCCGGCCGCCTCCAGGAGCCGCATCCTCCTGCGCCTCCCGCTGCTGCCGCTGCCGCCACCGCAGCACGAAGGGATGGAGGCGGCGGGGCCGCCGTGGGGCCAGCCCGGCACGGTTGTCCAGCCCCGGCAGCAGGCGGATGGCCCCGATGGGCCCTTGGCAGATGGGGCAGGTGGCAGCGGCGTCGGGGCCGGCCTGGGGCTGGATGCAGGCATGGCAGAACACGTGCCCGCAGGGCTCCACGGCAGCAGCGGGGCTCCGCAGGAAATCCACGCAGATGTGGCACACCCGGACGGCTCCTGGCGCTGCTGCCTCTCGCCCGACCTCCGCCATCGCTGCTCCCGGACCTGGCTCCTCTCGGCTGCTGGCAGGACTCGAAGGCTTGGATCCCACTTCTGGCACTCGGAGGTTCCTCAATGTCCCGTGGGACTCAGAGGCTCCTCGGACACTGGCAGCACTCGGAAGCTCCTCGGCTGCCAGTGAGTCACAGCCTGAGTGCTCTGGTTCTGCCCAACGCTGGTGGTTATAGTTACCCAAGTGGTGTCACAGTGACCGAGGGGTGACATCACAGGGCCCTGCGGGACACGCCCAGGAGCTCCCCCATCCACAGAGATGGATCCTGTGGCACAAAGCCCACCTGGCAGTGGCCTGCGCACCTCAGTGTTCACCCAGGTCCCTTCCAGGCGGTCCCTGCTGGGCTGGGGCTGTGCCAGTCCCACCACCAGGACCTGCAGAGGACCTGCTCTGCAGAGCTGCTTCCCATGGCGTGTCCTGGGGCTGCACCTCCCCAGGGGGAGGACTGCTCGGCCCTTGGTTGAACTTCAGGAGGTTCCATCACCCCATTTCTCCAGCTTAATGTGGTACTTTTGGTCCTTTTATGGTGTCTCAGCAGCTCCTCCCACCGCAGGAAATTCAGCCAACTTGCTGAGGGTGCCCTGGGCCCCATTAATCAGGCCACTATCAAGAAGGAAGAGGACTGGTCCCAGTACTGACACCTGGGCTACACTGCTGATGATCAGCCTCTATCACCGCTTCATGCTGCTGATCAACATCCTCTACTTAACAACCGGGAACAACAGTTAAAATCACCTCCTCACACGGCAGAGCTTATTTGCACATTTCTGCCTCTCAGAAACCTCCTGCTTTCTCCAAAGTGATGAGGAATGTCTGGGTGATCGTTTATCAGCCCCAGTGAGCATTTTCTCGTTCAAATACATCAGATCTGGAATACAGCAGAGGATCTGTTGAATCTCTTGCCTCTTCCTCCACTTTTCCATCAATTATACGTAGTATTTTTCTGCTGAAAATACCACTGCAGCAATACACACTGACGCCGCATCTAGGAATAATTTTTTGTCCTTTGCCAAGAAACATTCAGGTCGATGTGCTCGTTCTCCGTGTTCACGCCTTCCCGGACGGAAAACCGCCGGACGCGGCGGGCTCAGAGCCCGGCCGGGCGAGCCCCGCTCGGGCCGGGCCCCGCCCGCCGCATCCCGCGGCTCCTCGGCCGCCCCCGCTGCCCCCGGCCGGGACACCTCGGCGGGGCCGTGGGGCGAGGAGGGGCGGCCGCTCATCGCTCCCTCCGTGCCGGCCGCTGCGTCCCTGTGCCCGCTCCTCCCGCTCCTCTCCCCGCCTCACCCGGGGCTTCTCCTCCGCCATGGCGGGGCGGCAGCGGGGGGGGCTGAGCGGGGCCTGAGGGCAGCGGGCAAGGGCGGGGCGGGGCCGCGTGCGGCGCGTCCGGCTGAGCCGCACGGGGGCGCTGTGCTGCGGCGCGAGGAGCGGCCTGAGGGGAGCGCCGGGACAGCACCGGGACAGCACCGGGACAGCACCGGGACAGCACCGGGACAGCACCGGGACAGCCCCGGGACAGCACCGGGACAGCCGGGACAGCACCGGGACAGCACCGGGACTGCACCGGGACAGCACCGGGACAGCACCGGGACAGCCGGGACAGCACCGGGACAGCACCGGGACAGCACCGGGACAGCACCGGGACAGCACCGGGACTGCACCGGGACAGCACCGGGACAGCCCCGGGACAGCACCGGGACAGCACCGGGACAGGCCTGGGAAAGCACCGGGACAGCACCGGGACAGCACCGGGACAGCCCCGGGACTGCACCGGGACAGCACAGGGAGAGAACCGGGACAGCACCGGGACAGCCCGGGACAGCACCGGGACAGCACCGGGACAGCACCGGGACAGCCCCGGGACTGCACCGGGACAGCCCGGGACAGCACCGGGACAGCACCGGGACAGCACCGGGACAGAACCGGGACAGCACCGGGACAGCCCCGGGACAGCACCGGGACAGCCCCGGGACAGCACCGGGACAGCACCGGGACAGCACCGGGACAGCCGGTACAGCCCGGGACAGCACCGGGACAGCACCGGGACAGCAACGGG